AGTTCAAAAAGATATCCCAGAACCAATAGTGAAGACACCAGAGTAACATTCAACTATTTCTAAAAGATTAGAAACTCACTGCACTATTGATGCAAGACAGTCAGACATTTTTAAAATAGGAGCAAGCCTAAGGATGTCACCTTTAAAGGGAAGAGATACCTGGCTCCTAACCCTGACTCCAGGGCAAAAGCTAAAAGAAATGCTTCTTTATGTAAGGCAATACCAAAACTCCTCTAAAACTAGAAAATTTGAACTGTTTTACATAACATTTGAGAGTACTCAAAAATTTTGTAAATAACAGATTTTTCATTAACTCTTATGGGAGGGGAGGGCAAAATTAACCACCAAATTTTGTTTACAATTAATTCTCTAAGTGTTCACTTTTAAATCATGATACCTACTGAACAACATTTTTCCTAAATTACTCTTGAGGCAGAGTTCTAGGGGAGATTATTACTAATATACTGAGAAAACTATGATGACCAAATAACGTAAGCATATAAACATCCTATTACAGCATGAAAACACGAAAAAGCTTTAGAGTCTCAGAAGTTTTTCCAAGCAACACATAAGCCATAAAGAAAATTGATAAACTGACAAAAAAAAATTGAAATTCTACACAGATTTTTAAAAATGCACCATGAACAAACTCAAAAGACAATGAAAAATAGAAGAGCTTCTCTACTTTGGATATTGTGAGCATAAGACAAAAGGCTAATTTTCTATTATTTAAAAAAATCCTTGAAATGATAAGGAAAATAAGATAAAAGTCTAATGAAAAAAAAAAAGGAAAATGGCAGACCGGCAAATTCACAGAAAAAAAGAAATATAAATGGTTTTTAAAAGTAAGCTTCTTATTATAGGAATTTCCAAATGCTTACAAGTTACAAAGTGATACAATGAGTACCCATATATATATCACTCTATTTCAAAAATGAAACACATGGTCAATTTGTTTCATTTATCCCAATCCACTACTTCCTCCTAAGATTATTTTAAAGCAAGCTCCAGACACCACAACATTACAAATAAAAATGCTTTCAACAGGTACTTTTTAAAATATATCTATTTTACATCATTGCCTTAGAAAATTAACAATTCCTAATAAGGTTCAAATCTCCCCTAACTACCTCAAAATATATCTTCTTACATGCTGATCTCCAAACAAGACCCTAAAACTAGTCACTGCATATGGCTGATCTGTCTTTGACTCTCTTCGCAAATGCCACCTCCCTATTTGTTTTTCTTCTTGTCATTTGCCTGTAAAATTTCCCACATTTTGAATTTTGCTGATTGTAGCCCTATAATCATTTAATATTTTTTGTTATTGATATTGTTGCTCAAATTGTTCTACCTCTGGTGTCCTTCAGCCAAAGACCACCAGGAATATACACAGTGAGGAATAATGGAGCATCTGAGTAAGAGGATGGTAGAATCTATTCCAGGATTTGGGCATCGCTTTGGTAATTTGGAAAAGGTTTTAGGAAAAACCTTTGGATATTGTGAGAAAGTGGGACAATTCTATAACTGAGTATCTCAATTAATCTGATCTATGCTGGGATACACTAAAAGAAAGACAAAGCAGCCATTAATGAAGAAGAAAATCGCACATTCAGGCTAAGTACTCTGTAGGCAGCACACTGACTTTAGTTTTGGTTTTGTCTATGCTTTGCCTCATTTTATCATGACCTGAGAGAAAACTTGTCCAAGGTATTCTGTGAGACTCATCATGTTTACCAGGAGAAAACATGGCCTCACTGAGTGCAGGCCAGCTTCTGAACGGCAGGGCTGGTTTTCTCTTTTTTCCTTTCTCACCAAAAACAGAACCCCTTTGTGTTGTCACTGTGTCCTTTTGAGAGGACCAAAAGTCTTAAAAATGTTTCCTTGCTTTCCACTGCAAGATGTTCCAGATTACTCCTATTCACTTTCCTGTTCCAAACCTAAAATCAGCTACTCCTCCAAGGGGCCTTGTTTCCTTTCAATTGAAATCACTATTTGGAAACCAAAATCCAGTCCCAAGATAGTCACTATTCCCAGATTGTCATTACAACCTGGAGTGAGCTACAAGAATTCTTTATCAGGAAAACTATATCACTATACTGGCATTTCCTTTTCAAATTTAGGATTACAGGATTTTGGGATAATTTGATTTCATATTTGCAACTCTTTTCTCTTGTTAAAAATCTTAGTTCCTATTAATGTTAGTCTAAATACATAATAATTTTTTCTTTAAATTTTTAAAATTTTATAAAACATTTGTTTCCAAAGCACAAAACAACAAAACATGTGTCAGGAGCACAACTACTATTTCTTCTCTCCTTATTCTTTCTCTTTCTCCACAGTAGCTGTTTTTTAGTTTTTGGTTTATACTTCCTGTTTTCTCTTTATAGATATCAAATAAAAGACATTTATCCGCATCCCCCACTACCTAGAAAACAGGTCAAATATGATACATCTTGTCCTACACCATGATTTCTTTCACTAACAACACAGCTTGCAAATAAATTGGCTCAGCTTCATCCATTAATAAAATGCAAATTAAAATTATTAAACTGACTTTTTTCTGCCACATATTAGCCAAATTCAAAGAGTCAGAAAATGCACTGTATGGGCTGGGGATGTGGCTCAAGCTGTAGCGCGCTCGCCTAGCATGCACAGGGCGCTGGGTTCCATACTCAGCATCACATAAAAATAAAATAAAGATGTTGTGTCCACCGAAAACTAAAAAATAAATATTAAAAAAAATTCTCTCTCTCTCTCTCTCCCTCTCTCTCTCTCTCTCTCTCTCTCTCTCTCTTTAAAAAAGAAAGAAAGAAAGAAAATCCACTGGGTTAGTTAGAGTATGAAAGAGAAAAAAAAAAGCATATCAATTTGGCATTATCTATCAGAATTTAAAACGCATATTCACCCTTCAGCTCACCAAGTCCACTTTTAGTGGTTTATCCTGCTGCACAAGATGGAATGCCTGCCTGGATATTTACTGCAACAATGTATACAGTAACAGAAGACAAGAAACATCCTTAACTTAGATCAAGAGGGGAATTATTAAATCAATGATGGTATAACCACAGAATAGAATATCATGCAATTTTTAAAATGAAGTAGATCTACATATATCAATATGAAATACTCTACAAGATATATTGCTAAGGGAAAAATGTAAGAAAGAACCGTGTATTTGAATATGCCTATGCACATAAAAATAAAGAAATCTCTTTAGATTCATATGATACAAATAATTTTATATATATATATAACTGGCACCCGGAAAAGTTGCACAACCATGACAAAACACACACACACACACACACACACACACACACACACACACGGCTGACTGCTAGAAACCTATGTAATTAATTAGTAACAGGCAATGCCTTAGGGGTAAGAGGCTTACTTTTCATTTTTTACCTTTTTATGAAACTTTTTAAATTTATTATTTGTGGTACATAGTATTAACTTTTTGATTAAGATATTTTTAAAAAAATTCTTCATAAATAATTAAAAGAACTTGATTACACAAAATGTCAAAGTAATGCTTTCCAATGTTCTTAGTTTGGAATCTGCCAGTGCTTCTGTAATATCAGGTTCAGTACAAGTTGGCCCTACCAATTGCCTCAAGTAACACTACAATTAACTGTGTAGAAAAACAACTCTCAGTACCTTCATTTGCAGACAGATCATGCCTGAATGTTTTGATGGTGAAGACTAGTCAGTCTTTAAAGAACAATACAGCTTGTACTCTTCAAAGAATAATACATCTCTAAAAGACCAGTAACTGAAAATGAACACCGACATGAAGTTCTTACGTTAATACAATGATTTATTTTTGCTCAATTATGAATGACTGAATCTATACCAGAAACCATTTAATCACTAATTATAACATACAACACTTACATATAAATGAAATGTAATACATTATTGTTAGGCATCTATGTAGCAGGCTGTACATTAATTTAAACATTATCTCAATTTTTTACAGTAACTTTGCGTTATTATACTGACTGTACACAGAAGGAAACTGTCCATAAGGGAAACTGAATAATTTGTCCATGGCCTCACAACCACTAAACAGCAAGGCCAAAGTTCAAAATATATGTATGCAAAGTATAATTTTTGCAAAAATACCCTTTTCCTAATTAAAAAACACACATATTGTAAACAGATCATTTGCAAAACTAAAAGTCTTAAGGTGGTAAAATATTTGCTTTAATTACTAATAATACAGCCAAAATTATAATTGCTATAGAGTATAAGAAATAAAACAAATATTTTCACATTATTATAAACACATATCTCACAGCCTAACTCTACTAAGTAAAATTAGTATGACTTTTAAAGATTAAAAGAACAAAAGCAATAAATCACTGAAATAAGTCTTCAAAAATATGTTTTAAGTTGCTTTTTAAAATGGGTTAGCCAGGCGTGGTGGCATATGCCTATAGTCCCAGCTACTAGGAACCCTAAGGCAGGAGGATCACTTAAGTCCACAAGTTGAGACCAGATTGGGCAACAGACACTCCATGTTGAAGTGTGTGTGTGTGTGTGTGTGTGTGTGTGTGTGTGTGTATACAAAATCAGTTTGAAAAAACTTGATATTATAAACCACTGCAGGATATGGGGGAGGGGGGTTAGAAAATATTACATATAAAAATAGTGCATTTAATGAGACTATCTTCTTGGTTCCAGTGCAAAACCCTGAAGATTCTAAAGTCAGTTTCTTCTGTAATATCAGCATCTGAATGATGGCATTTTTGTTAACACTTTTTACTAAATGGTCCAGACAAAATCAACTACTCAACAATCTAATCTGCCTACATGAAAAAGAAGTAAGATAAAAGTCTCAGCMCTGGGGCACGTTAAGAGCACTGAGCATACACATCCCTGTATGCATTTCACAGCACTAAAGACACTGTATTGCCACTGGCAGTATATCTGTCAGTCTCTTTTGACATATTTTGTCAGAATCTGGAAATCGGGAATCCTGTCTTACTCACCTTGGTATCTCTTGAGTCTAACATGATGAGAAACAAACGGATATTTCCTAAGAATGGTCTGAATTAAAGTCATGGTCCAGGTCCACCTCCTATGAATTCAGACAAGACCCAACTTCTCCAGGTCTTTTTTCTTAACCTGTAAAATGAGAAGCTTAGATTACAGTCCAAGCCAGGCATTTTACCGGTTTGTAGGGAAAGGTATAGTTCATTTTAGAACCGGTAGGAACACAAAGGATGTACATTTTCTAATCTAAAATAATCTACAATCCCATATGTTGCCAATGGAAGGTTTGGGAATTCTTTTAACCCTCCTGCTCACTATAGAATGACAACTCCCTGAACACAATAGAAGAAAAAATAAAGAAAAAAATGTTTTGAGTTAAAGATAAATCAAAGTGAACATCAAAGGTTAATGAATTCAATAATAAAAATAATTCAATTTTTAAATGGGCAAAAAGGATTTGGATAGACATTTCCCCAACAGAGATAAGCAAATGGCCAATAAGAACCAAAAAGATTCAAACTCATGAGTCATTAGGGAAATAGAAATCAAAAACAGGAGATACTACTTCATACCCAGGTATAAACAAAAAGGCAGACAATAAATAACAAGTATTAGTAGCATCTGTAAAGATCAGAATCCTTTACACATTATTAGTGAGAATGTCAAATGCTGCAGCCCACTTTGAAAAACACTTCATTAGTTCCCAAAAGTTGAACCCAGCGTTATGAAAATACACATCTAAACAACAATTCGTACTCAAAAGTTCATAGCAGCATTATTTACAATAGCCAAAAAATGTAAGCAACCCAGCTTTCCTTCAGCTGGGTAAATAAAATATGATATATCCATACAATGGAATATTATTCAGCAGTAAAAAGAAATTAAGTCCCAATATATGGTAGAACATGAATAATCTTAAGAATATGTTAAATTAAAGAAGCCAACCATAAAGGATCACAAAGTGTATAATTCCAATTATAAAAAATTTCCAGGATAAATTTATAGATAAAAATCAGAAAGTGGATTCTTAGGAATGTAAACAGGGATAAATGGATGGTGACTGCTAATGGGTAGGGGTTTCTTTTAGCACTGATGAAAATATTCTGAATTTCATTATAGTGATCACAAGCCTGTGGATATACTAAAAACCACTGAACTGAAACTCTTTAATAAATAAATTGTATGATATGTGAGTTACATCTCAAACTTTTTTTTTAAGTCAATGAAAGGAAAAATGTAATATCAAGAATAACAAAGGAAGGAACACCAGCTACACTAAGTAGTACCATTCTTTGGAAACCAATCTAGACCTATTGAAAGAAAGTAAGAAGTCACCACAAAGCAGGATGCTAAGAACACAAAAGCAGCAGCAAATGGTAGATTTTCTGTTATTCATCTGGCTCCTGACTTACCCTTCTCAAGGACCTAGCATGCAAACCTGATACAGAAATTTATAAGGTATGCCACTTTCCAGGAGCAAATGTTAAAGATGGGAGAGAGAATTTGTCAAGATTAGAGCTCATTGATCATGAATGACTTCTGCTTATTCATGAACTCCACATTTCGTCTATGATTCTTATAAGTTCAAATAAGAAACTAAAGGAAACAAAAAAATAAAATGAACAGCATGTACAATGACTTTCAAAAATGAAACTGGTGTCCTCATTCATAAATTGCTAACACAGAATGATGAGCTCTTCCTAACAAAGGACAAGAGTACATGTGCCAGTAAGATGAAAAGAAGATGCCTGAACAGAGATTAGTCAACATGTCCTTCATAAGCCACTAAGATATGGATGCGTATTCATACCAAGATAATATAAACCTGAGAAATATCATAAATACATTAGAAAATAGAATTCAGATACAAGATTCTAACAAGTCTCAATAATACTGCAAAACTAGGTACAATGATCTAGCAAATCCAAGTCAGAGTGAAATCAGAAAACATTCCATCCAAATTCTTCAATTTACAGATGAAGCTGAGGCCAGAGGGATTTAATAACATACCCAAATTCAGAAGGCTCAGTAAAGGTAACTGAAAGCTGAAAATAAAAGAATCCTAACTCCCAGGCTGTGTCTACCTGGCCCAATGCAACCTGCTACACTTGTACAGATTAACTGTGTAAATTAAAAAGAAAGAAAGAAAGAAAAAACAAAATCCTGACCCCTACTTTACACCAAAGTCAATTCTAGAATTCCTAGAAACTTATACCTAAAAGTGAAAGACAAAATATAAAGCATCTAGAAACAAGTGAATATTTTCATAACCATGAGGTAGCAAAAACTTAAGTGAAACACTAAAAGCACTAACCATAAAGGAAAAGATTAATTTCAGTTCATCATAAACACATCACAAGAGTAAAACGGTAAGCCACATAAAAGAGGGCTTTAGAATTCACATATTCAACAAAAGATTGTATTCAGAATTTACATAAAGTCTAACATTTTGATATGAAAAAGGACAGAAAACCTGAATTGTTTAAAAAGGTGGGGGGGGCAAAAGCTGAATACTTTTCAACAGTGGAAATATAAATGGCTAACAAATACATGAAACAAGGTGCTCAAATCATAAATCATGAGGAAATGTTAATGAAAATCACACTGAGATCTTCTATGCAACTGTTAATATGGTTTTAAAAGGGTTTTTAAAATTGCTTAGCTGACAGTTTCAAGTAGAGGCGAGGCTTAAGAGCAATTGAAATTCTTTATGTTGGGAGGAATATAAACTGGTACAACCACTTGGGAAAACTGGCAATATCTATCAGTATCTATTAAAGCAAAAGATATTACAGCATACACTATGATCAGCTGTTCTACTCCTAGATATACACCCAACTAAAACTAATATGTGTACCAAAGACATCAACATACTATAATTACTTTAAAAATGTTACCAAAACTATTAAGTAGAATTATTCATAATTATCCAAGTATTAACTATTTCAATATCTATCTGTAATAGAATGGATAAATCCTGGTATATAATTTGTGGTGGTTTTAAAAAACGGCCACAAATTCTTTGGTACAACTTCCTAATGCTGGGCAGTCTATGTTCTCTTTCCTTGAATCCAGGCAGGCTGTGTCTATTTCAATCAAGAGTGTGACACAAGTGACCTTATGACTCTGAAGCCAAATCATCAGGAAGATACCTCTGGGAACTCAGCCAACATGCTGTGAAAAGCATGGCCTCATGGCCCCCATGAAGGTTACTCCAGTCAACAAACCTGGATGATCCTGGTCTTCAAGACATCCCAGTCAAGATATTAGAAACAGGAGTGATGGAGCCTCTAACTCATTCTAGACCCCAACCATTGTAGAGCAATGACAAGCCATCCCTGCCAAGAATTCATGAGCATGACAAAATGTTTTTTACACCACTAAATTTGGAGTGGTATGTCATGCAGTAATCAGTAACAAAAGTTCGTGTGTTTGGCAGTAACTGATGACCAGACTACAAAAATAACATGGGTAAATCTCAGACAGAACGATGAATGGTAGGAATCTTGCAAGATTAGGACAAAGTATATATTACTCCATTTACATGAGTTCAGAACCAGACAAAAGTAATCTATAGTTAAGAAGTCAGAACAGTGGTTACCTTGGTGGAAGTTTCACTGGAAAGGAGCACAACAGAGGTGTCTGGGTGCTAGAATAATCAGTATCTTGATCTGGGTAGTGATTATTATAGTGTTGAGTTTGCATTTTTTTGTTATACTTCAAAAAATGTTTTAATCAGAAGAATCTGGTAATCAAATAGATGCAAATGTGTGAGGAAGAAATGAAGAATGACTCCAAGCCTCCAGGCACGGAGACTAGGTACTGTCATTAACTCAATAGTTACACAATTGTGGCAAATAAATACAGGAGCGAAAAGCAGCAATCATGTCCTGTTCATTTTGTATTCCACTATCTACCAGTCCTTAATCCAAGTCATTCCAAGATACTCCTCTCATTTTCATCCTACCTCTATGACCACCCCTTCTTGGTGACCTACATTGCCTCCTCTCTGTCCAGTTGCCTTTTTGATTTCAGGACTTTCCACCCAGGCTTCTCTCCTCAATTCTCTTTTCAATCTGCATACCTAAACACGTGGATATTCTTTTATCCCCCATAATTCCAATCTCAGCTGATACAACTTCCATAATTCCAAACTCAGCTGATGACATCATCACATACTTGTTCTTTTAAGCTACAAATTTCTAATTTGATCAGGAACCAGGATTCCAAAATATCTTAAAAAGTTGAGTTAGGCCCAGCACAGTGGTGTACGCCTGTAATCCCAGTGGCTCAGGAGACTGAGGCAAGAGGATTAAAAGTTCAAAGCCAGCCTCAGCAAAAGCAAGGCACTAAGCAATTCAGTGAGACACTATCTCTAAATAAAATACAAAATAGGGCTGGGGTTGTGGCTCAGTGATTGACTGTCACTGAGTATAATCCCCAGTAACCTCCCCCAAAGAAAAATTGAAATTAGCCAAATCCATTAAAAATAAATTTAAGATCATAAATATAAGGTCCCATGCCTGTGACCTAAAACTAATGCAGAACAGCAGGATGAAGAGACGACTTAGTCAGGCTTTATTCAAGTCTAGGCTCAATATATGGTATGGTCATCCAAATAATGTAGCTGATATTAATAAAAATACAATATGTAGAAAAAGGAAGGCATTACTTTCCCCAGAGTAACAGAAGAAAAGTGCAATATCTAGAATAAGAGATGCAACTCCATTTTTTTTAATATCAAGTCATGCATGAAGTACTGTTCTCAATTCTAAGCACTATAACTTAAAAATGGAATTTTAGGGCTGGGGATGTGGCTCAAGCGGTAACGCACTTGCCTGGCATGCACGGGGTGCTGGGTTCGATCCTCAGGACCACATAAAAATAAAATAAATATGTTGTGTCCACAGAAAACTGAAAAATAAATATTTAAAAAAATTCTCTCTCTCTTCTCTCTCTCTCTCTTTAAAAAAAAAATGGAATTTTAAAATATAGAAAGCCACCAGTGTGGTGAACCAACATAAAACCATGTCATGTAAGGAATAGCTAATGAACTGAAGATGTTTCACCTCAGAAAGATTGAGAACACTTGATGACTTTTCACATATTCAAAAGGATGTTACATGGAGGGG